AAAACTCCGCAAACATCACGGTGGGGTGGCCAGGAACCACTGAGGGTGATCCTTCCTCCCAGTGCCTCAGCCTGGGCATCCCCAGGGAGCTGTGGGACGGTTCAGAGGAGAATCCCAACAGTCAGAAATCCAGGGAGAGCAAACAAACCTGGAAACGGAGCAGGGACACCACAAGCACCACCGCTCCTGCATCCCTGCTCCGTGTTCACTCACCACTGCCCTCAGATCCTGCAGCATGGAAAAAATTCCAGGAACAAAGCAGAGGAGCAGATCTGAGGAGCTGAGAGCCTCCAGCAGCAGATGAATTTCCATGAGGATTGTCCCTGCTCCTGAGGACACCCCTGCAGGTCCCTCCGGGCTTGGAAATGAACAGGTAAAATGGTGATTGCTGAAATGTCTCCCCCTTTGAGCCGTCTTAAAAACCCACATCTTCCTCTGAGGAGCTGCAAAATCAGCTGTGAACCCCAGGGACAGCTGAAGGGGAGTAACCCAGAGCAAAAATTAAAATTTGGGTTCACCAGGGGAGTTTTCTGCCCAAGCTGAGGCACCCCCATCCTCTCCTGTGTCTCTGGGCTGCTCACAGAGGGTTGTGCTGCACCCTCAGGAATCAACCCCAAATTTCCATGGGATGGGCAGGAGAATGGAAGCCCTGGAGATGAGGGAAACACCCGCCTAGACCTTAAAATTATCCACTCCTCATCTGGAGGTTCCTGCCTTTGCTGAGGAGGAGAAGACCCTGGGGCTGTGGGAACACATTCCTGAGCCTCTGGCACAGCCCAGACCCTGGCACGGCCGCGTCCTTCCCCACGAGCTCTGAGGAGCAGGAGATGGTGGGAACCCGAGCTCCAGCCTGAGCTCCCACAGCTGCAGCCCTGCCCAGGGAACGCCCCAGGAACGGGCACAGGAGCAGTGGGCTCCTCTCTGGTTATCTCCAGGGAGGAAACTGCTCCTCGCCCAGGCCACCAGAGCGCTGCTGGGCTGCCCCGGGATCCCTGAGGTGTCCTAGGCCAGGCTGGGATAGTGGAAGATGTCCCTGCCCACGGCAATGATATGGTTTGAAGGTCCCTTCCAACCCAAACCAGTCTTTGATGGGGATGAAATTCCAGTAAATCCAGTATTTCCCCATGGTTCTCCAAGGGCCACCTGAGCCACCTCAAGCACCCAAATCCCTCTGCAGCCCTTCTGCCTCAGGGAAGCTCCAATCTCAGGTTTAAGGTCCCATCCAGGCAACTCCTTCATGGGCATCACGGCAGGAACGGGGTTTGGGAGAGGAATTTCAGGGAAATTCTTCATGGTTATTGTGGCAGGAATGGGATTTGGGAGAGGAATTTCAGGAAAATCCTTCATGGACATCATGGCAGTAATGGGATTTGGGAAAGGAACTTCAGGCAAATCATGGTTATCACAGCAGGAATGGGATTTGGGAGAGGAGTTCCAGGCAACTCCTTCATGGGCATCATGGCAGGAACAGGATTTGGGAGAGGAATTTCAGGGAAAATCTTCATGGGCATCATGGTAGGAACAGGATTTGGGAGAGGAAATTCAGGGAAATCCTTCATGGGCATCACAGTAGGAACGGGATTTGGGAGAGGAATTTCAGGAAAATCCTTTGTGGTTATTGTGGCAGAAACAGGGTTTGGGAGAGGAATTTCAGGCAAATTATGGTTATCACGGTAGGAATGGGATTTGGGAGAGGAGTTTCAGGAAAATCCTTCACGGTTATTGTGGCAGGAACGGGATTTGGGAGAGGAATTTCAGGGAAATCATGGTTATCACGGCAGGAACAGGATTTGGGAGAGGAATTTCAGGAAAATCCTTTGTGGTTATTGTGGCAGGAACGGGATTTGGGAGAGGAGTTTCAGGGAAATCATGGTTATCACGGAAGGAACAGGATTTGGGAGAGGAGTTTCCTTCCAAGCCCTCCAGGGACGTCTCCCATTCCACCAACTCGTGCAGGAGGATCCTTCCAGATCTGCAGAAACCTCTCTGCAGGAATTTCATATTTCATGGAAAGCTGGAGTGCTTTGGGTGGGAAGGACCTCGGAGCCCACCTCATTCCAAGCAAGGCAGAAGAAATCCTGGAACAAATCTGAGCCCTCCTCCCTCAGACTGCCTGGAATTCTTAGGATTAGAGATTAAAAAATACACATCAGCCTTTCAAGCTCCCAAGCCAATAAGCCACTGTTAAAACATACTAAGATCACATTAAAACTTCCTATAAAATCATTATATCAAACTTATTATGAAATTTTACTGGTTACCTCCATTTGTGCACTTGACCGTATTGTTTAAACATTAAATTTACATTTTAAAAATATCAGGAAGATTAAGATAAATACATAAAATCTCTCTCCTTTTATTTCAGATTTCCTAACGGATCCTTAATATTTTTTTCTAAAATCTCTCCATTTTCCAGACACAAAAGCACCTCTGGAAAAACAAAACTAAAATCAAATTTCACAGCAAGTTTCTAACAGGCAAATCAAATTCAAGTTCAAACTATTTTCTGGCTATGGAGGAAAAAAATAAAAAATATCTGAAGTAAATTATCAGGAATGATCTATGTGAAACCTATGCTAAGAAATTAGGAAGAGTTTAAAACAATAGCAGATGACTTCAAATATTGCCAGTGATTTCTGGAATATATTATAAGAGCAAAAGGATTTGCAGAAATCTATCATATTTAAGATATTACCCAACAATTTCATCCACTATTTTGGCATTAGCATTTGAACAGTGTTTAATGTCTTTTAAATGGTTCGATGTAATGATAGATCTGGAAGACAAAACATTTCTTTCTTACCAGGAAACATGCTGTAAACAACCCTCAATTTATCCTCCCCAAAGAAATGAATGCTTAAAGGATGCTTCTGCCAATGGGAAAAAAACACCACTAAAATGGTTATTTCGCATCCCAACTTTAACGAAATATTTTTTTTCCCTTGACAAGCTGCTTCCATTTAAATGAAGCCAGGCCGGGTTTGGTCAATAGTATGGATCGCAGAGAACAAAAAGAACCTCCGAGCGCAGCTAACGCAGGGATCAGAAAGCAGCAACTTCATTTCGAGCCAGGCAATCATTTAGCAAAACTACGACAGAGCAAATTAAAATCCACGTTTTCCACGGCAAAGCTGGCACGGGATGAAACCTCCGTGGCAGGAATCGCGGCGAGGGCTGAGGAGAGGGAAAAAAATCAAAGGGAGCACAACGAGATCTGGCGAGACCCTCAGCGTTGGGAGCAGAAATAAAGGAAGAAGTGCAAGAAGCACGCTGCTGAGGATCTGAAAAAGGCCAAGGTGTCCTGCTGGAGGAAGGAGCCGTGTCCCAGGCCCGGGGGAGGCTCATTGTCCCCAGCCCCCGGAGCAGCAGGACCCAGCTGAGCAGCATCGGGCCCCAGCGTTCTGCATTGTCCCTCCCAGGCTGCTCAAAGCCAAAAACAAACCTTTCCCTACCACGAGCAGCAAAAAGCTCTTTGCTTCCACTGCTTTGTGGTTTTTTTGGTTTTTTTTTATTTTCCTTTTCTCCCTGCTATGTTTTCTCAGGCAGGTCCGCAGCCAGCGCTTTCCTGGGCTGGAAAATTCCCTATTTCCGCTCCTGCATCCTTTGCTGTGGGATTTAAGGATGCTTCCTCCTTTTGAGATCGGGGCTTTGTCATCGTTTTGTTGGACTACCAGCTCTGACAGCCTTGTCTCTCCCACTTTGTGCTCACAGTGCTGGGAAAAAGAAAGGGGGGAAAAGCTGAGAGGGGAAAAAAAAAAAAAATATCAAGGGGAAAATCCAGCTATGACTAAATTCTCCCCTAATTTATTCCTGTTATTTCTCCTGCTGCAAAAATAAACTCTGTTTAGATTAAAAAAAAAGAGCCTTAAATTAAGGTCTCTTGCTCCCACTGCATTTTGAAATAAGTTATTTGAATCCTGGGCTGATCTATTTTAACAAATATCATCTCCCGTGTCCATCACTCCTCCTGTCTTTTTGATCTTTTTTTTCCTACTTATCATGTTCTTTATTTGAAACAGATTTTTAACAGATAATCTCCGCCGTTATAACAATATCTTGCTCGCATTTTATTCAAATAATTCTTAAAAACAGCTTAAAAAGCCGTTTGGAATAACATCAAGCTCTCCATCAATCAAACAGCAAAAATTCCGCTGGCGGTTGTATAAACATCAGATCAACTCCGACGTCTTCAAGGATTTCAGAGCAAACCATAAAAAACTCCATTAACTTCTGACAAAGAATGCAAATTAATCACAACATGGGGTGAAATGAAATTAAAGGCTCTTTTCTAATCAATGACAAGGCAGGATGAAATATTTGGTGCCGGGATGCTCCCGATTTTTTTTTTTTGGTAATTTTTTAAATTATTTTTTTTTTCTTCCTTGGGTGGAAAAGGGGGATTCACCCGGGGTGGCTCTTTAGCCCTCCCCATCCCTACAGCGATCTGCTTACAAGTCGCCCCAGCTCCACAAAACACACTAATCATCCGAATCTCAGGTGCATCCAATTTGTTATTCACACTCTCTCAGTGCCAGGGAAAAAAAAAAAAAAAAAAAAAAAAAAAAAAAGGGGAAAAAATAAAAAAAAAAAAATAAAAAAAAAAGCCTGGCGTAGACAGATGCACCAGGAACCTTAAATGACAGTTTTGGCCTCCGGAAGTGCGATCGCTACAGCAAAATCTAGTACAGCCTCCAGGTGAAATGTCTGGAGCTCCATATGGAGCAGGGAAAATTAACAACAAGATGAAAATCGCTGTAGCAGC